GGGGGGGTAACCTTATTGTTGAAGATTTAAAATTTCAATTAGAAACTCCAACTTCCATCGACATACTCCCTATAGTTTTTCTCCATTCGAGATTAGAGATTTTCTTTGTTCCATCATGTTCAAAAGATACTTAATTGAAAGAGAGAACTAAAATCAAATTGGACTAGTAAAACTATTTAATTATTATATATTTCAAAATTTCAAGTTCCAACTAATTTTAATTCTGGTCCATATCCGCAGAAAACACGCATTAATCAATAATGAAAATTATGTATATATAAATGCATCGAAGTTGGACTTGATTTATCCTTAAGACGGCGCACGATCTACTGTGCAGTAAATCTCCATAATTGCATTCACATTTATACGTGTATTCAAACACATATATATACATCTGTATTTATATAGACGTAAGTAGTCATTCCTGTGCTTCAGAAAACCACAAAACAGACAACACCCTCCCCCAGTTTCTGTGTAAAAGATGAGAACCGAGTCTATGACGGGATGGTCAAGTAATGAAGTAATGGACAGAGAAGAATACCAAGATGCTTTCTCCTTTCCAACCCAACTATCCTCAGATTTCAGGTTTATACTATATTTTATTTCACGTTCTTACACTAACACAAATTACATGTATCTAACGTTGTTGTTGTTGGGTGTGTTTGTTAATGTGAAAAATCAGTAGTTTTTTGGCTAATTTGGAGTTTCAGCATGATCAGTTGCCCATTCAAGAAACTGCTTTTGATGCCGTGCCTTCAATGGAAATGTTTCTGCATAATGATCCTTTATACTCAAGTTTGAACCTTGAACCAGACCAGATCCTAATTCCAGGTACTGATCATAATCAATTGTTCATATAATCAAGATTTATATACTGACATGATTTTGTCAAAAATATGCAGAGAATTTCTTCTGCGATTATGGAAGTGCGATGGGAAGGTTTGAAACTGGGAATCAGCAGTTACTATTGGAGAATACTAATAAAGATATAACTGTAGAGGAGCCTGTGCAGGATATGAAGAGAGTTAAAAGGCATAGAGAAGTAAAAACCCATACAAGTAATTGCAAAATCTTATCAAAGGAAGCAATTTCTAAGTATTTTTACATGCCAATTACAAAAGCAGCAAGGGAACTTAATGTGGGATTAACCCTTTTGAAGAAAAGGTGCAGAGAATTAGGAATTAGAAGGTGGCCACACAGGAAGTTGACAAGTCTACAAACCCTAATCAAGAATGTCCAGGTATTTATATACTGTTTACTATCAAGCCTATGATACCGAACTTATTACAAAGTATTTAAGTTACTCGCTTTACGGGTTTTATAGGAGTTACGGCAGGAGGAAGGTGAAGGGAAGTTGAGAGATGCAATACAGATTTTAGAGCAAGAGAGGAAATTGATGGAAGAGGTTCCTGATTTGCAATTGGAGGACAAAACTAAGAGACTGAGGCAAGCGTGTTTTAAGGTAAACTACAAGAAGAGAAAGCTCATGGCTGGAATGCCATCAATGATATCGAAATCGAAATCTGCAGGCTCTAGTGGTGATAATCCAGCAGCAAGTGTTGAAATGAATGCTTTAGATTGTGGTGGATCTAGGGTTGAAGATGAATATGATGATGATGAGATAAAATCTCTCTTGTGTTACTATTTTTCTTCCAGCAGTGACACGATCTTTTGAGTCTTGTCGAAGTCAAAATCGAGTGCAGTTGGGATCGAGGTTGAAGAAGCAATGTCATTTCAAAATCGTTGAACTAACTTCATTTGCAAAGTTCATAACTTTCTTCGGTTCCTTTCATTTATCTTTTCGCCTGTCTCCGTATGTGTACAGATTCAAGCCTAAATTACTTTGAGAATATATGATTTGGGTTTGATTAGTGGCTTAACTTTGTGTTGTGTTTCGAACCTTGGGACTTATAATAACGAAAGTGTGCTTCCAAAATTTTATGTGGAAAAGACTTGTTTTACCAAATAGCACTTTACTGAGTGGAAACTATTTGCTGGATTGTGACACCTGGCTTCTTGATGACCTTCGGATCATATTCTCTTGACTTTTGATTTTATATCTTCCAAGTGATGGTTTGATTGGCTGGATCTATTCATTCTTGGGTCGACTGTTCTTGTGCCTTCTAGAGAGAACCTCATTTTTCGTTAGGGTTTCACATTAGGGTTTCACATTCATGAGTAATTAGAGTGTGTAAATGTTAGAATCTCCTAGATATACTCCTTATCGTAAGCATATGATGTTTTTCGGAGTGATTTGTGTAAAAAATCTGCATGATTCGTGTGATTAGTGGAGTTGGTGACAAAATTGGTGCTCTGTCGTGATTCTTGGCTAGGGGGTGTTTCGATTTATAGTTTTGTTTAAAGATAGGTCTCTGTGGCTTCGTGTATTTCGAACTGATTGTATTTTTTATTGCCATATTTTTGCCTTTTTGATTTTTGGCTTATAAATAAATAATGAGTTTATTCATGGCTTTTGCTAGATTAATGTTGTTGGGTTGTGATGCCAAGATCCAATCCAACTTTAAGGCAATGATGAAAATGGACTTGGCCTAGTTGTTAAACTATTGTCCAATAACTTCAAAGTGAGGCCCAATAACTTGGATTGATAGGTGTAGTTTCTACACTTATTTGAGATTCTAAATGAAGATATTTTATTGTTCTTTGGATAAAATACTGTATAATTTATATTTTATTGCATTTTGCTACTAAAACTCAATGTTTGATAAAAATAAATAAATAAATAAATAAATAAAAATTGGAGAAAATAATGCAAAAAAAGAGTGAAATCCAAAAGTCGATAACTAAATTGCAAACAATTTATAGATAAGATAGGAAATTAAATAAAAATCGAAGATATCAATGATCTAATTTGAGAGTGTTGAGGGTCAACTAGATAAGGAGAGAAGTCAAAGGAATGGAAGTATCGTCAAAGTATTATCACATATCAACTTTCAGCCGAAAATGCTATGCTTTAGATTTTTAGTTACATATTGAGATCCAATTTTCGCATAGCAAACTTTCGAATTGGAAAAATAATATTTTCAAAAGAATTGTAACCCTCCAAGTTAGTTTTTCAATGTACTTTAAATCACATCAATCGGATATCAAGGAAGAAAGTTCTAACAAAAATGTTGAAAATTGTTTGACTATCAGAAATTATTGAGTTTGGTATTTAAAGAATTCCAAAAACTGGGTGCCAAAGGCATCCCAAACCAGCCAGGCGCAAGCCTCAATAGAAAAAGGAAAAATCTGATTTTCCTTATTTTTGTTTTAGTAATAATTCAATGCAAACTTTTTGGCATCCTTTAAATACCAAACTTGACTAGAACGTTAAAAACCTCCATTGGACTTTTTTCATCATATTCTACATATTTTGGAGGTGAAGAATAAGTTTATATATCAATTTAAGGCGAATTATACAAGAAATTTGAAGATTTGTAGGTCAATTTCAAGATTTGAGCCAAGAACGTAGATTTCTCATACTTCTTCCATCTTTCTTATTTTTGAGTAATGTTTTTCCAATTATTTTTGTGTAATTTAATTATAAGAATGTTAGGCTAAGTTTTTCATTGTATTGAATGAATGATAAACCCTATTATTTGTTTATCTTTGTTCAAGATGATTAGTTTATTATTTCTTGTGTTTTCTTGATTGGTTTTGCAAGCTATTTGATTAATGGATCACCAATTAGATAGTAAGTTGCTTATTGTAATGTAGAAATACTCATAATAAGTGTAGAATGCGAATAAATCAACACATAAACAATAGGAATAATATCCACACTATGTGCAATTATGTGTAATAAATTTTAAGAATCAATGTATATTTTTCATATGAATTCAAACCAAGAATAAGATTGGGTCGTGTTAAACATAAATTTAAAATATCTTGTAAAAGAATATTGAATAACAGTGAATTATCGTTTGTCTTAATGCATAATTTATTAGATTACAAATTAAGTTGAATTAAATGGCAATAATTCCAATACAAATATTCACATATTAGATAGATATCTTATTTACTTTCTTCGTTTAGGATTAGTATAGAAAACATACAAACCATTTCTTTTGATATTATATGACTTCGAATTTGATAAAAATTATTGAACTAGATATTAGACCTTATTTTTTGTAAGAATGAAACTCACAAATTTAATTTTAGTTTAGTAGTTTATATCAACTTTGATTTTTTTTTCCTTTTTTTTCTTTTTGTTCTTTTTAGGTTTTAATTAAAATACCTAATCTCCTCTTGTTTCACTCTTTGCAAATTTCTATCAGTTTATGCGAGATCTTGACGAGATTGAGATCATCCCTATAGATTCCAAATCGAAAGAACCTTAAAGCAACGTCAAAGAGAATAGAGAAAAACAAGTGTAACACCCCAGAAAATTTTATAGAATAAAATTTATTTATTCTATATTTATATATTTATATTTTAAATTTGAGGGATTAAAGTGAAATAAGTTTTAAATTCCTATATTTTTTGGTCTAATAATTTGATTTTGATACAACAAGTTTTAGTATATCAATATCGAACTCTTTTGTAGCTCATAATAAATTAGAAGTCTTCAACACGAGAAAAAATTATTTTGGATTAAACTACATTAATTTAAGTTTGATTAAAAGAATAATATGTTAATAGAGTTGATGGGGGCTTGGAATATTAATTAAGTAAAACTCTTTTCTTCTTTTAAATCCTACCACACGTTTTTTATTTGATATGAAACCAATAGTGTAGTACATTTCAAATATACTTTTTGAAACCAAGTCCAAGTTGGCCACGTGTCTTATTTTTCCAATGGGATGATTATACTGGAAACCAGTAATAGAGTATAGTACTAATTTTACCTTTTGAAATCAATTCTTATCCAAATTCCTTGTATTACAAGATTTTTTAATTCCAGTTGCATGCAAACTCAATTGTGAATTTTTACTATAAATACTATAAGAATTATCATTATTTCACCACAGAAAATAAAGAGAGCCTGGTAGAGAGAGTAGAGGAAGAAGTATAGAAAATAAGAGGAGAATTTTCACGTCCAAGATCTTATTCTTTCCAACCTTACAAGATCAAGGTAAGATACTTTTGTATAAATGGTTTGTATCCGTATACTTTTATATCCAATTAATGTGTATGGATTTCCAGTGAACCTTCGGGTTCTTTAGAAAGTGTAAATCACTTGATCACCAATATACTTCATAAAAGAAGAATGATATGAAGTGTTTATTTTCTTGTTATATAATTGTCTATAAAAATTGTACGTATCTTACTAAATATTTTTAAACATTCACTCTTACAATTATTTTACAAGTTAGTTCGGGTCGATTGGATCTGTGTTAGAATGGTGATGAAAAGCATTAATTTTTCTATCTGACAATTTATTTTGTTAGTTGAATATGTTTATTTTTTATACGACTATCATGTTTAGTTTAAGTTTATGGATATTTCAGTTATTTTATTCTTAAAAGAAATTTATTTTTATCGTTCTGGCTTTAGTACAAAAAAAGTAAATATTTGATAACACTTCAAAATTTATGAAAATTTGGGGTGTTACAGCAAGGGTAATAGTAGAGAATCAAAATCAGATTCAAGATTCATTTAAGAAACATCACTTTCAGTTCAGTAACCACATCTGGTTTAGCCTATATTAGTGGGGATTATGTGAATCCTATACCTGTAGAGTGCAGTCGGCAATTATCGCCCTATAGACATGCCAACTTTCACATCAAATCAAATGTCATAAACCTTTTCCAGAATCATCATGACATTAGGTTCTACGAAAAGGCCACAGAAAATCCACGTGAACATATACAGGCTTTTCTCATGCTGGGTGAAATAATCAGCCATGAGGAAGTGTTACAAGATGCCTTTTGAATGCGTCTATTCCTTTATACCCTGAAGGATGCTACAAGAGAGTGTGTCCACACTTTACCTCGCGAGAGCATCTTGTCGTGGAGTGACCTGGTGCAAAAGTTTACAATGAAATTCTTCCTGTCATCTTAAATCCATCAAATCCAGAATAAAATCCACACATTTAAGTAAAAAGACCTTGAGAGCTAACCAGAGGCATCGAAAAGATATAAGAACCTATTCAGGAAGTTTCCCAATCTTGACGTTCCTAAGCAAGCACAAGTGTACCTCTTTTATTACAAAATACGCCAAGAATTCAAGAATACGGTAGATGCTTCAGGGAGAGGATCGATAATGACTATGGACATGGATGATGCTTATAAGTTGTGTGAGAGGATACCAAAAAATCAATCGATGTGGCCATGCGATAGGGAATCCAGAGAAAAGTAGCTAGTATACATAATATGGATGCAGTAATAGCGTTGGTAGCACAGATAGAGGCAATAACGAGAAAGTTTGACACTTTGACCCATTCTATGAATATGGTACAAACTCGAACTTCGATGTACGTAGGTTGTAGAGTAGATCACATCACTTCAAGCTATTCTTTGACTTTTACTCACATAGGTCAGCCGCCAGAGGTCAATTATGTACAAAACTTCCATAGGCACTAGAACTACCCTTACAATTACCTTCCAAACTAGAACAAGCATCCAAACTTCTCATAGGCTAATAATCAAGGGCAAATTATCAAAATAGACCACCAGGATTCCAACAATAGTAGCAACATGAGCAAGAGCGAAAGCCGTCACTATAAGATTTGTT